CTGGGGGTCTGAACTGGTTTGTCTCTGCACCGCTATAGAAGGCAATGAAGGGTTCAACCTGACGACAATAGAAGAAAGTTGCCACAATTACTTTTGTGTAACCTATCTATCAGCTTGATCAGGCTCATGGCTTACGTATGGAAAGTCTAATGATGGATTAAGGACAAGAGTATCATAGCTAGAATCTTTCCGCTCTGCTCGGTACAAGGTTTTAAAGGGTGGAAAGAGACAAATACGGCCAAAACGAAAGTAATAAAATGAAACAAGAAACAGTTATAAGGCTATCACGGGAAAAACACAACTCCAGTACTCAACTTTTAAATGACCTTGAGTGACATTTGCTAGCGTTATGTAAGCTGATTGTTCATTTATCCCCTTTAGTGATCAGAGAGATTTCACAGGCCAAAGACTTGTCAATGTGAAGTGCGAAAAGCAAAATGAAAAAAACAAAAAAAGTGTTCAGAGCAGAATCAGCTGATGAGGAAGCTCACCTTGACACTTACTCAAATCAACCTGTCTGAATAAAATGCAAATATGTGCAGGTAATTTTGTAAACGATTTTTATTTAGTTTTGTCTATAAAAAATTGTTTGTGTGTGTGTGTGTGTGTGTTTTTTTTTTTTTCACTAAATATCTACCCAAACAAAATAAAATTTTCACCCTCGCTTAAGGAGGTTAAAACTTTACAAGAAGCGCATTGGCGAGAGCGAATGAGGATTTTTTGGAAAATTAGGAGGTGAAATAAAATGAAAACGATGTTAAGCTGCACAGCACTGATTTCGTAAATTTCTTCAATTTGTCGATTCGTGTTTTTAAAAAGGAGATAATGCGTGACAGATTGTTTTAGAAGCAAAGTTGATCGACAGGTGTCTGTCACAAGCCTACTTATAAGATTCAAAACAGTACAATGTAGATTTCACTTCCGATGTAAAACCAAAACCATCAGTTTCCAAACTTTTTTCCTTCTGGCAGTGCATCAAATATTCCGTTTAAGCCTTGTGAACAATTATGTAAACTCAATATCACAAATACCATGACGTAGCAATCATGCAAAACATTTAACTTATTAATCAAAATATTTCAGTTGTGTAGTTCTGAAGAGTTTCGTCCTATATACCCATGATAAACAGAGCGATTGGACACTAGCACATCGAAAATCTTCATATTTTTCAGATACGAGTTATTTCTTGAGTGTTTCGTAAGCTTTATTTGCAATGTAAAATTGCTCTCCCTTCAGGCTTTTGAGCGGCGAAAGAAGCATGTTTATTTTGCATATGAAAAGCGAACAACGGGATATAAAATTACTCTCGGCGTAGCGCGTCACGAATTTATAACCGAACTCGTAATTTTGGCGGAGTAAATACAAAATGTTGACTTATCTTCGATTTTACACCGCGATTGGGTAGAACAAGCAGAACAGAGTCGATCACGAAAGCTTTTCACGCGGGAATATTATTCGCTTCAGAGCGAGAAGGAAACACAGATCGAAAGTAAGATACGCTTACCGAGTTGTTTCCACATCGCGCAATGTGTAGCCATGAATCCGTCCTTGATAGCTTTTACAACGCGAGATGTTTCACCCGAGTAAAATCCCTTTTGTCCTTTTATCGCGTCCCATAAATGTTCCCGGGCAAAGTGAGCCGCGTCCCTTCCACCGTGGCCATCGAAAACCGCGAAAAATGCCTGCTCTGGATCGCGATCGAACTGCACGCGTTTAAAATCTTCCATTTCTTTCCTGCCCCCCTGGTTGGCTTGACCGTTAACTCGCACAATAATCTTCCTGGTTTTCGTTTTTTTGGACATTTTCGCTGTGTTGTTGGGTTAGACTGCGTTTGCCGTGCAAAACTTCGGCGAGTAATTTGTAATTTGCCCGCTCTCATAAATTATTCATATCTTTGTTTGAAATAGACAGCTGTTGATTAATATGTCAGTTCTTTTTCAAATCCGACCAATCATGGCGTGGAACAATCCGGGCATAAATAGTTAATTTCAGATAACAGCCAATGAACGCACCTGTTTGGTGAAAGAGCCTTCAAGCCGCTTAAACATTATGCACGCTCAAACTTGCCCCTCGACAAACGACAGAAACGTCCAACAGTGCTGTCATAATCCACAACTTTTGTAAATGTACGAGCAAGTCTGCGCTTGCCTGGATTGTGCTTTAGACCAGAAAAAAAAAAGGTTCTCATAACATTCTCGAAAATCTGGAATTTCGTGTTTGTTTAAACTTGGCAAGATATTGAATTGCAAATTTTATTAAATATTTGTTCAAACTCGGTTTTTGGAGTTGAATCGAATAAAATTTTTCACGTTCAAAACTACATTAGTAAATAACAAAAAATATGTATTTTTCAAAAACTCGATTACCGTGACCATCTTGCTCAAGAAATTCATATGTTATGGAAACTTCTTAGTTGCCACTTCCAAAGGAAAATGGTTTCGCTCATATTCACCGATTCCCCTCGTAAATAAAACCCCGCTTTAACGAAGGATTCATCAATTACGAATTCTCAATCGAAAGGAACGTATTACATATAAACCGGTAACCTGGTTGCTGGCATTTTGCTGCATCATGTTTAGGTTTGAAAGAAGATGCCCATATTACATAAGTAGGAAAGAGATGGAGTATTTATATTTTAGTCCCGAAATAAAAGAGGAAAATATTAAATTGGTCAAGTATGTGAGTGTGGCCCCGGTTGTTTTTAATGGTTGATAGCGCTACCCGTGCCCTAGATTAATGTCTATTCAGATGATAGCGATTTATCCGTTTGATAGTGTTACTGCTCCTTTCTAGTTGAACAACTGGACCCTGAACTTAAGGGCGAAGCCCTCCTCGTACAAAACTGCGTCGGATCTCTCTCCCCCTCAGGGAATAGACCCCTAGCAGGACAAGAAAAACAGCTGATCAAGCAAAAAGCGGACTTGTGAGTCTATCAATAAATACACAATGCGATCAGGCTTGCCCTTTCCTAGCAGCAAGCAAGGAAACGTAAACGGAAATGCTTCTTATTGGGGCAACCCTTCATTACCAGCTTAGTAGTTCGTCGCACATATAAAAATAAATCAGCAAAAAAAGGCCTCGTATCGTCTCTGGAGTTCTCTTAGTGCTAACTTAAATTCTTTTCACTAACTTCTTTTGACTTGTGTGGCGAATAAAAAGCTGTTAAAAGGGACAACCCATATTTCAGTTCGTATCTTGGATGAATGTGTATTATAGGCTGTGCGCAGAGCCGTTGAAGCCTCCTCCACAGCCGCAACCTGCATGACCTTGTGCTACGGCGCTTTTTGTGTTGCACTTGAAGGTCGCAGATTCAAGGTTAAATATAAAGATGATGAAGAAACATGATCTCGTGATCTCAGTGAGATCGGCCCATGTCGCTCTGAGCTTTTTGAGATTTGCGTCACGGGACAATTGTATGAGTTGTTAAAAAGAGTTCTTTCACATAGGAACCCATCAAGTAATTGGCTCCTATCCCATAATCAAAATCATGCTTTCGTCAGGAGACAAGATGTTGCCGTAAACTTCAGACAAATTTCCACGAGCAAACCTTCTTGACTGTAAAAATTTAATCATAAAAATCATTTTATGTAATCTACGGTGTACCGTATGGGAGGGGAGGGAAAGGTGGTAAGAATCTTAAAGGTTCAAGATCGTTCCGCTCAGAAATGAGAAATTAGAAAGTTCCCGAAATTAGATTTTCGCCTTTTTTAAAAGTTCTTTCCCTAGCTAAAGCGCCCAAAGCACGGGCGGAACCCTAGTCTACGAACAGCCCCTCCCACCCTCAGAAAAATCGCGATTTTTTGCGAGAGGGGATGGCTGTTCCATGCGTCACAGGCCAATTGAACCCCCCACTACCCCACCCCAGCACCTGCTTTAGCACGCGCCTTTCACACACTAGTTGCTAGTCCTTCTCATCTCGTCGATTAGCAATTCGATTTGTCACGTTAAAACTCTTCGCTTAAACAATGTTTCTCCGACACGTAAACGGCCGACTATCCAATGCAGTATCTCCCAAAACCACAGGTAAAAGCACTATTTGATTATAGTGGAAAACTATTTGTCTAAAAGTTTGTTGCAATCTGGGAAGGATCTGTCACAAAATATCAACCATTTGTACCACTAATGTTTTGTTTTGATGGATGAAGGACTGGAATTATCTAGGACTTTTTCAAACTTAGCATCTAAATTCAAAGTATGTGGAGGGTTTTTAGGGTGTATTATTTGACATTCTAGACCTTTCTTGAATTTAGAAATGGTTTTGGTTTTACTTCACCGACTTCGGAAAATGTTTCTAGCGTTACTTTCGTAATCGGATAAGTGGCCCTGTATTCTGTAGTTTTGCCGTAATCAGAGCGCGCGATCTTCCATATTCCATATCATTACTTGAGTTATTCAATTGTTCTAACAGTTAAGTACTTTTCCTCTGTTCTGATAGAACGATATCTAAAACTACTCAGAACATGTCTATTCTGCTTTTTTGATGTAACTTTCAAGAGATTTTACGAATAATAATTTTTTTTTTCTACATACTGGATAGCATGTAAACAAAACACGTGGTTAGTGAATTTGAAACCTGATGATGTCTAATCTTACACAATGATAAAATCACACGCTTACAACTCCTCAAGAAGAGGAAACTTTCAACGATAGCATGACTCAAATGATACCAGTCCAATTGTAATTGATATTTCTCTGAACTTCAGTTACAGACAGGAAATCTTTCACCACCCCCTCCTCCCAAAGAGAACCATCTGTATGTTGTTGTTGGCAACTTTAAATCGTGTAGAGAATTCTCAATCAGAGCATTTTACATCTAAACAAAAGAAATCTTGGTTTTGAAAGAAATTTCCCTGAACAATGTTCAAAATTTTTATCTCGCTTTGATGTGAAATCTTCTAGACAAGCTCTTTTGTCTTACTTTATTAAAGACTGCGATTTTTTATGGTTTTCAGTTTAACAATGTATCTTTTCAACATTTCTTTGAATTAAAGAAGATCATGGCATAAATTGTAGTTGCACATATGAAGTTCATGATCGTGGAGTCTGGGAAAACTTTAAACCCTTATTAAACTTGACAATAAACAGAGGGTCTCATGTAAATCATAAGTTTAGGGTAAAATTCAATTTGTCAAATATTGTATCTGCTACTGCTCCTTGTCAAATTATTATTACTACAGATAAACATGCTAGTAACAGAGGAAGAAGTTAACATTTATTTTTTCATTCAGTGGGTAGAATTATGTCTGACCTCTCTAGTCATTTGTTATCCAAGAATGATTAATAGATAAAACAAAACAAGTCCAGAAATTCTGTGTATGAGAAGATTGTTAAGAAGGGGGACTTCGTCATTCTCAATATTCTTGATAACATACTTGTTTTCTGTGTTTCATGTTGAACAAGTACTCAGTGTGCTTTTCTCTTAGTAAAACCTGAATGACATTTTCTATCTTATGAGTATGTATTATATTATTAGATGGGTGAATTTTTGTGTTTCAACTGATGCCAGATTGTGAAAAACTATTTTGCAGAAAAACTTGTTGCCTGGTTAAGTTCATCAACTTCAGCCTCCATACCCAAGGTAATAAATAGTAAGAATATCAATCCTGTAACTCGCAGAAGTGATTAACATGTAACTTCTCCCTATGATATCTAGAGGTTGTTCAGTACACAGTTAATGAGAATACTCAAACTTATCAGGTAGAAGTTGTTATGATATACTACCAAATTCTCTGAACTGATTTACAAGGAAATGTGAAGCAGCTAGAGGGGAGAATTAACAAACAAATCTTAAGAGTTAAAGGGGTAAGAGTTTATGGAGAAGGGTTCCATATTACACCTGTTACAAATGTGTGAAAGTAAGCACAAAAAAAAAAAAACAATTAAACATTAGTTTGCTTTTTTATTTCAGAAAACAACCCAGTTGAGAAAGATGCTGGAATCACCAGAACTAGAATTTATCATGGAGGCACACAATGGATTGAGTGCTAAAATTGTACAAGAGGCTGGTAGGTTGTCACTAAGCACTGGTTACCTGTGAAATTGGCCGGTTGAAAAAGAGGTGATCGTTGGATAAGTTTCTTGCTGTTGTTTGCTCTGTGGAGCATGCAAAATTTCATCTGGCAGCCAAGTTTCTTATAGCTACAACCCTGACAAGTAATCAGAAATAAAGATATATAATCAGCATGGCTCAACATGTCAAACCTATGTAGTCACTTAGGGATGATGGTTACTTACAAGAGATAAATTCTCAAGGTGTTTAGGATGGTTTCACCTCCAAGATCACTTTATCATTTCTCCTCCGTGTTGTAACCTCAGTCAGGCATTTCAATGAGAGCTGGTAATGGGAAAAGTTCACTATCAATATCAAGTGAAATTGCTGCCTATTTTTTTTCTGAAATTAATGGTATTGAGTGAGGATTGAACTTCCATTAGCACTGTCAGTGGTTTCAATAACTTTTTTGCCAGAGCTTGTTTACAACAATCCCTGTCTTGTTTCTCATTTAATGATGCAGCGTTGATATTATTTTGCAGGATTTAAAGGTGTCTGGGGTAGTGGTTTGTCAATCTCTGCCCAGTTAGGAGTGCGTGATAGTAATGAAGCATCATGGACACAGGTCATGGAAGTAATGGAATTCATGAGTGATGCCACAGACATCCCAATATTACTAGATGCTGATACTGGATATGGTAACTTCAATAATGCTCGACGGTTGGTGACAAAACTGGAACAGAGAGGTATTGCTGGAGCATGTATTGAGGACAAGCTTTTCCCAAAGACAAACTCTTTATTAGATGGCAGAGCACAGCCACTGGCTGATATCAATGAGTTTTGTGCAAAGATCAAAGCTTGCAAAGGTACAGTACACCCTTACATCAATTTATACGTATTCTCCAGACAGTTTTATATACATTTCCCAAGGTGCCCATAAAAGAGAAAATGTGTAACAATCACAGCTTCTTTAGTTAGTGATTATTTCCTTTATTCTCATGACCTTTCTATGTGATTCAGGGGTGATATTGTAAGGAGAAATTAGATGTTGGTCATTCTTAGAGCTCAAAGGGTTCAAAGTAGAGGAAAAGAACAAGCTCCGAACGGTGCTGCTCAGTTCTGTTCACTTGTGGTTGCCTTACAAACTTTAAGGTATATTTCAAGGACAAGGCTACACCTACCCTACAAACACAGCTGTTTTCAAGTCTCTGGCAACTTGAAGAGTTTCTTCCCCCATTTGAGTACATGTAAAACATGTCATTTCCTTGAACTACAACCCACCTCAGAAAAACTAGCTCGTTTTTGTAAATGCAACAAAATTGCTTTGTTCAAAGTAGCCTAAATATTGTTTACATAATGATAAAAAAATTTGAAAGAAGTCATCTGTGATGTTGAAGAGTGCAGCCCAAGTTTGGTAGAAAGACTGAGTGTCTAGAAAGCTGCAAATTTGTTGTCTTTGTTTGTAAGATTCTAGAGCCAGAAATTGCGATCATGTATTTATAACTGGTAAGAATCGATATTCAAAATAATTGCAGGGTGATTATAAACTAAATATGCTGCTAAATTTGTTGTATTGGATCTTTTATTAGATACACAGACAGACCCAGATTTTAGTATTGTTGCAAGAGTTGAAGCTTTTATTGCTGGGTGGGGCTTGGATGAAGCTCTTAGAAGATCAGAAGCATACCGTAATGCTGGGGCTGATGCCATCTTGATGCACAGCAAGAAATCTGATCCTTCAGACATTGAGGCTTTCATGAAAGCTTGGAAAAACCAGGTGCATTGATGACAGTTTACAAAATTTAATATTTGAAGGAAAATCGATTTCAAGCTGGAAAATTACCCAATCTCACATCTACTGCCATATCATAATGATACCCCTGACCCCTCCTAACAAGATAATTGTTCTCAGTCCACAACTTACAATTTAACTGTATAATTCTGGGGATGAAAGCATGTGAATCTCAAGAATCTGCATGGCAGAAACCTTTTTCATTGCCAGATGCTCCATTTAATGGTCCATCTCATCACATGGTAGAGCAGAGTTGCAAGGAAATTCATAATTATGACCCCCTCTCTCCCTCCCTTTTTTTTTTAGAAATCTTAGTTCTGCTTATGGTTTCAAAGAAGGAGCAATTTCTGATAAGGGTTTCATGTGGTTCTAAGGTTCTAAGGGTTGTTCTTTGATTAAACCTCAAGAGAAACTAAAATGTTTCAGAGAACGGTTTTAACCAGGTTTATCTTGTGACTGTTATTGACAGGGTCCAGTTGTGATTGTACCAACAAAGTATTACACCGTGCCGACAGACCAGTTCAGGGACTGGGGTGTGTCTCTTGTGATCTGGGCCAATCATAATTTGAGGGCATCAATAACAGCAATGCAGAACACCACACAACAAATCTACAAAGACCAGTCATTAGTTAATGTTGAAAACAAGGTGAGGTATTAAACCTTTACACCCTAACATCAGTATGCATATTCTCCATACGGTGCTCTATATATTTCCCAAGGTGTTGACTAGGAGAATTTGTTTAATAACAATCAAGTGCTTCTTCAGTTGGGAATTAGTTCCTTAATTTAATGACGTCAATGTGTGATTCAGGGGTGATACTGTAAGGAGAAATTAGATGCTAGTCACTATCAAGGGTTAAGAGAAGTGTTTGAAAAAGTAAAAGAGGGTGAAATAGTGTGGGAGGGGTGGTGGAGGGGAGGTTAAGTCTTGTAGCTGAGTGGGCCATGAGTACAAGTGGGGTACTGCAACATGGGGTAACTTGAGTGTCTTAACCCCTTTAGTACCCATGAGTGACCAAGAAAGAATTTCTCTTTACAATTTATTACAATATCAAGCAGACAAGTAATGAGAACAAAGAAAAATATCAATTAGAGGATTATTAGTTGATCCAATACCAAATTCTTCAAACAACGACTATAAGAATTGTATGGCAGACAGTTAGGAGAATTACCAATGAGATCTTGAACAACACAACACAATGACCTTGCCAGGGCTTGAAGCCAAACCTCACAATTGGTAGCCCATCACGCCAACCACTCAGCCACCTGAAGCAGTTTCTGAGTACAAATCTTTAGTTTGAATGATTGGTGAACAACACTCTTTTTCAACACAGATTGCAGCAGTAAAGGAGGTTTTCCGTCTTCAAAAAGATGATGAATTGAAGGAAGCTGAGAAGAAATATCTGCCTGAGAAATAAAAGAAAATAAATCCTGCAAAGAGAAATAGATTGTAGCAATTGTGGCCCATGAGTTTCGAATTGCACAGCCAGATATGTCAAAATTCTACTTCATTGCTCTTCTCATGAGACTTCCAGAGAGTTTGCATTTGGTTTATGGGCTGCAAGGAAGCTTCCAGTCCCCCAACCCCCTCCCCCTTCCCCTGGAAAAACTTGTATGAAGGCTGGTAGGCTCAATAGCCAGCTGCCTTAGTTTCTGGTCTGCACTGCAGGCATTGTTTAACCTTGACACAAAATATGTTCTTGATGGGGTATGGAGCATGTCACATCATGAAGCCAGACAAGGCCTTTTTTTTTTTTGCTATTAATGAAATCATTAGCAGATGAAAAATTTATGTCTAGAACCCAAAGCAATGTACTCACTGTGTAATATATTCCCATGGCATGATAACAATTATGAAAACCTGGAATAGGATTTTAATATATCTTAATGTGCTTAGAAACTAGCTGTTATGAATTCCTAGAATGCTGTAATAAAGGGATGATTGATATGGAGTTTGTATCCAGTATTTTATTAGTTTATTTGCAATTCAGCCCTAGTCTACACCAATGAATGATTTTGTAAAACAAAAAACAAAAAAACCATACTTTTTTATGCTGTTGTGGGTATCATCCATGGCTGAAAACACTGGTGAAAATTAAGACTCCTCATTACCGTTTTCCTGAGTGATTTAATGGCAGAATTCTGACAGAAAGGGGTTTAAATAATCTGACTTTGACAAGAGGTTCTTTCCATCAATCCTCTAATAAAAAACCACCCCCCAAAGTTCCTGAAATAACTAAGTCCCCTGAGGGGCTTAATAGAGGATTTACAGTAAGTAATGCAGACAGACTGTTTACGACTGCACACCACATTAGCAAAATGTGTTTAGTGACATTGCATAGCCCGTAGCTTATTGGACTATTACAAGGTTAAATTGAAGGAAAATGTTCAATATAAAAAGGTCTTCGAAAGGGAGTAAGCAGTGGCAGACCTAAGGGAGGGGTGTGGGGGCCCCTGCCCCCATTATTTTGGGTAAAAAAATAAATGCAGAAGGAAGAAAAGCTGGCAAGTGAACACACACAAACAAAAATGGAGACCCCCTTAGCTCAAGGCCTGGTTTCACCACTTGTAAGTTGTTAATAATTTGTGGGTAGAATAAATTAAGAGATAATTTGATTTTAGCAGCTGAGTTAGTTATGTAAATTGGCCACTGTAAACAAGTTCTAAAGCTGACATTTCTGTCAGAGGGATGATTTTTCTAGTCGAGGAGTCGATATTTATTAAAAAAAGTTGTTTAAAGCCTTCTTCTGACAGTGCCTTCCAGCAGAACATGACTCCAAATATCCCAAACTCAAAACATCACCAATACTATGCTTGGTAAATACAAAATTAAAATAATTTATTTCACAACTTCAAATGCTTCATAGTTACATGTAATAGCTCCTTTACTCTGTTCAGTCCCCCTCCTTGAATTAGACCAAGAGACCCACAAGCAATCAAGCCTTAACACTCTGATCTTAACTTAATTGACTTTCATTACAGAAATAAAACATCGATAATCTGAGAAGCGTAAGGTTTTCTGAAATGCCAAGAATGCAGATCAGAATTTCTCCTTAGTGACATTAGGTAGTCTGGCTTTATTTCCAAGAACTAAACTTAATATAAGTAAATTAGATTTCAACGAGTGACTGTCAATAGAAATTATGTGCATGGCCTTAACATTTCCTAAAATAGCATAAAGTTCTAACAGGCCAATCTGCCATGATAGAATTTAACTTTCTAAGTTAACCATTGACTGATAAGTGATGGCTAAAATATGAAACTTTAAATTAATATCTTTTAGTAGTGTGAACCAAATAAACTAATTCTTTTGGTTTCTGTGTGGTATATACTTAGACTGTTATTTACCTAAGTGTTGGCAAAAATGGTGGATATTTACCTTGCCGCTTCATGGCGAGGTAAATATCTACCACAATTCACCTCCATCTTGGTGAAAAATTGTTAGATAAAACTAAGTATTCATTCCTTTCATTACCAGAATAGTTAATGAGTGCCTTCTCTCTACAACACTTTGTACAATGTCTCGCAAACAAGGAAGGAGAAAAAGGTCATCTCATCAGCTGGAGGTGGTTTCCTTATTACAACACTGCATTCTCATAGCTAATTTGAAAGGAGATGAGAAGCTAGAAACAAGAATTTGTCCACCAATCAGCTTGGGAGTTAAAGGATCACAATAGCAAGAAAAACACAGAGGAGGTTGGTTTTTGGAATACCCCTCCCCCTTTAAGCTAAACATATCCTATTATAAAATATTAATTTTTAATTACACATTGCAATAGTCAAGTTCAATAAAAATAGTTTCAAGAGCAAATAAATGGGTGGGTCTAAAATGAATTTTCAGTTGTCTACATTCTCAAATCTTGTGTTTCTGCTCTTCACCATTAATCAAAAGGTCAAGGCTAAAACGTCTTAAGAGTTTTCTAGATTTCCAAAATACTTAACTTGACCAGAGGGATAGTATTACTGGCACAAAAGTATATTTTTGTCCTGAATCGATTCTTCCCCTTGGGTTGAACTCTTCTTTCTCACACAAAACTACCTTCAGCTCAACACATCTTAATCATTGATGCTCTTGTCATTTCTTTTAACAACAGGGAAAGTGATTCTATATTTGAGAGACTTTTGGATAATCTGGAAGTATTAGCAAATGTGCAATGAGCTTCAAAGCACCCTTGGTGGAATGGCAAAAAACACTCAACACTTGTGCAGTTGAATAGATACCTCAGTTAAAAACCCTGTCTTCAGCTTATACAAAGCACTGAGAAATAAGTTTACTAGGAATTTGAAATTTTAATGCCATAGTAAACACAAGAATAATTGATTTGAATTTGAAAATCTAAAAAAAAAGCTGACCCAACCAAGGAAGAAACTGTACGTATGAGAGTAAAAGGGTGTGGTCCATAAATCTAGAACATCTGACAAAATCACACAGGAAAAAAAAAAAAACAAAAGAACTTGAAAAAATACTTTGCTCTCTGGGATAATGCTATTTGCCGTCTGTTTAAAGATTTATTTGCAGTTTTTAACTTTTTATGGTAGCATTTAGGTGATAATACACTGTCTGGGCCTGTCAAAGTCCAGCGACACTTAATGTAACAGATGAAAATATTTACAGTCCAAATTTAAAATGTTATTTATGGTTCCTTCCATCCAGTCATTACTTGGTGGTCTATCAAGCCCCATTTATCTATTTCATTACATTAATATTATGGAGATATTTGAACCATATAAAAACAAATACTAAATGTTACAAATTCTGAAAAAGAGAAACAAAAATAAAGAACTCAAGATTAATTGATCAAGTTCAAATAAAATGATTAAGCACCAATCAGGACAATAATGATATCATGGATATCAATGCAATCATATTAAAACAGTTTTTTAACCACATTTGAGTCCTGATAACTCGAACCCCTCCTAACTTGAAGCTTGCACAACCTTGGGCCAATACAAATTTCCCATTGATTTCTGTCATTCATTTACTGCAAATTTACCCTACTGTAGGTAACTGGAACCCTCAATTACTCAAACCTTCTTTTAGCTCAAAATGAATGTCAAAAGTCATTCTTTACTTAACAATTGGTTCATGCTTTAGCGTGCACTATCGAGTTATGGAGCACGTGGGAAGTTTGGAGACCTCGAAAGAAGCGTAAGAGTTTCCCGAGGCTATAGCCGAGGGCAACTCTAGCTTGTTGAGTGCTCTCCAAACTTCCCACGTGCTTCATAACTCGATAGTGCATGCTAAAGCATGAACCAATTGTTTTAAAACATAGCCGGTGGAATTGTGCATCAAATCTGACACGAAAAACGGACAACAATATAAATTGAAGCGAATCGTGACGGCGCTGATGCCGAGTCTCCTTTTTCCATTGTTTTTCTCTTTCTCTGCCTCATTTAAGAACTCTAGCCCAAAGGAAAAGGTGAAAAAATTGTATTTGCTTTGGGACTAGTTGGCCGAGTCTCTGTTTGTATCCATTATTGTCACAATATAGATTATTTTTCCCCGTGCTAACAATGGCTGCTCGCACAAAAAAAAATTTTCTGGCGAAGCGATTTGCTGATGCTATCAGCATGCACTATCGGGATTTTGAGCACGCTTACGTTTAATGAATTTGACTGCGCAGCTCTGCTAGCTATGTTCTAAATATTTTTAATCCTCAATAAATCAAACCATGTCAAACCACATCTGTTAATACCTTGCAAATCAAAACAAAACAGTGTACTACAGTTCAAAACCGTAATTCATTTTGAAGCAGACATAAATCTTTGTCCTATTTTGCAGTATACAAAATTTGTCAGTCCAGTTCAGGTTTTGATGGTTTAGGGTACACTGTAACTGTAACAGTGCCTTTATCTTCAACTCCTGATGACTTGATTCTTTTTCAACTTCCCTTGAAGGTTGGAGTTTTTGGGAGTCTACTGTACATGTAAAATGCATAACATGTAGAGCTCTACATATCCCTCCAGCTGGAAACCTTACCTAGTTTGTGAGAATCACTACTATAGTGACAAGTATAGCCACTAAAACAACTAGACAGATGATGATCATGATTTTTTTCTGTTGGCAAATAAAAACATTTGACAGTTAGTTACCCTTTACACTCTAAAATCAGTCTCCATATTCTCCATACTGTTCTCTATACTTTTCCTAAGGTGCTGACAAGGAGAATTTTTTCTTTAGTTGGTGATCATTTCCTTTATTCTCTTGACCTTAATGGGTGATAGTGTGAGGACAAATCAGATGTTAGTCACTCTTTGGGGTCAAATAGTTAAAACTTTATTCAGACACTCTTGCTTTCTGGGGGAGGGGGATGAATAGGCTAATGGATGGGCTGATTCTGAGAATTATTTTGCCCGGATTTCGGATTGAGCAAAATTTTAACGGCTTGGCAGATCCTGAAATTGCAACGGTTTGCAGTTTTGTCGATTTTTTAGATTCGGATTTTGGATTTTGCTTGTGAGGAAGTTTGAATCATGGATCTGAACGAACGTCAGAAATGCATTGTTTTCTGAGGATGTGTATTTTTTTGTCACGGATGAGACTCTTTTCATGTCACGCATCAGGGAAATAGTAACCCACTGGGATGTCTGCTGTGTTCACGCCCTTATCCATGACACTTTACCCCACAGCTTGAGATTCACTCGATGGGAAAGCCATTGCCTAGCTAACACACAACAGCTCAAGGTGCATTTTCCACCTTTTGACCAGACAAGTAGCGAACAGATTCTGATTGTCAAATCGTAGCGGATCAGCAGATTTGTATTACCCCTATTCACCCCCATCCTGGAGGTAGTTTCAGACTGGCAGGAGAATACATAAAGAGATTTTAGGCTCGACACTAACTTTTCAACTTACTAGCCAAGTGGCTGGTGACAACGTAGATGCTACAACAATTTCAGTTTGTTTACTAGCCAAACTGGCTGGTGGAAATAAAAACCCACTTGCCAAAACTGAATTTCTACTAGTCTATGGCTAGTTGGCTACCATTAGTGTCAAGCCCTGTAAGATTGTTAACAACCTTTGATCTTGAATTCGATTAACTGAACAAAGACAAAACTACAATTAATGATACTCACCCGCCTTGCTTTACTTTGATACTTGACAGCTTTTTTGGTGTCACTTTTAGCTGATTGTACAAAGTCAACCGCTTGTTCTACATTGTACTCAATTCTGTCGATCATCTCTCCCTGCCAATAAAATAGCATAACAGCATTAAGCAGGAAGTAAATGCACAGAAATGGAAGGATACATCTTGAGCAGGATATTGTAAGTCAACCCTTGATGCCATTTTATGCTTGCCTGATACTTAACTCTTTCATTCTAAAGATCTCATCAGTGATTCTTCTTACTGTCTGCCATACAATTCTCATCATGTTAGTTTGGAGAAATTGGCACTGGATCAACTACAAATAATCCCAATTCAAATTTTTCTTTATTCTCAATCATCACTTGTTTATTTGATATTGTATTGATGATGAAGGTAGAAATTTAATCTCGGTCACTCATAGGAGCTAAAGGGTAAACACCTAAATGCTTACTTTTTCTATTAACCTTACTAAATTAAATGCAAAAAGGTGCAGTGGTTGGCATGCACGTCTCAGAGACCTGGCCAGGGCAGTATATATGGGTTATTAACCAAGTGTGAGGTCAAGTTGGCTGGATATTGGCTGAGTTCTTTTTTTTTTGCATTTTTATGGCCAAGACAAAGTTGAGGTCCATAAAAATACAAAAAAAGAGTGAGGCTATCATTCAGCCATCTTGACCGAACAAGCTTGGTTAATAAAGGATTTATTACATTGCAAAAAGATTCCCCTTTTTTAGGAATTAGGAATGACTTGTTAACTTCGAGAGTTGGGAAAGAAAGCCAACTGTGTTTGTAGCACCACAAACGCATGAAAGTCGTTTCTGTTTTCTTTGTTTTGACTATCTTCTGCCGCTTTTTGCGTTTCCATCGCCGACACTGTACAAGAATTATGAAATGTAGTTCTAATTCAATTTTTTCATGCATGGAGTTGATATGGGCAATCCCGAGCAGGCAAGATGGGCCTATCTAGCCTGCTCCAGTAGCCAATCAGATCACAGGATTCACTTCATCTTGCCCATGGGCACTGTGAGCAATGTAATAAATTGTGTTCTTGGACAAGACACTTTACTCTCACTGTACTTCTCTACTTCCAGGGCCCAGTTGTATAATGGGCAGATAATACCATCCAGCAGATACCATGTGTGATAGCAAAAATATACAGTGCTGTCCACCAGATAGAGATCTGTCCATTTAGTTAAGAGGTAACCCAGTGATGGACTAGCACCCCATCCAATAGCAAATTGAAATACTCCTGGTCAGTTTGTCTCAGTCATTGGATCAGCAAAAAAAAAAAAACTTATCAACAACAGCCCACTCATGCATTGACTTTGCAATCTTTGAACAATTTGATCATGTTAAGTGTTGAACACCTAACTTACCTGGCTATCAACCAACATGGCCATGTCAACAAACATATCATGAAGTTCCTTGAGAGAAAAACAAAAATAGCACCATATATCACTTCCACATGAAATATTAGACAACCAAGCATAAACCATAGATTTCTTTCATAAATGGAAGTCCTGTCTGATATTATTTCATTTTCGTGTACATGACCCTTTCTGTCTTAAATCAACTGAAATTTCCAATGCAAGGCCAACAAGGCTGTTTTCCATACAAACAAAAGAATGATAATCATGTGTGCAATTGTGAAAGAGGTCTATACTACAAGAAGTGATCTGATGACAAAAATGATCCTGACTCTGACAATTAATGACAATGATAAAAATCCATAATTCTGCATTCATGCAGATCACGTACCTCATTCCTGGTCCAATTCACAGACTGTTTAGAAAGGATATTTCACAAAGCTATTTTAAGTACCTGAATACTTTTTTCTAAATTGATAATATCTCTGTGTCTAGCTTCTATATCTCCCAAGGCTTGTCTTGCTTGTTGAGTCTCTATCACAATCTATATATAAACAATAGAAACATGATTATTCAATACCAAAGAGTTATAATGACATTTACTAGAAAGCATTTTGATTGAGTGTCCTTATACACCAAAACAAAAGTATTCAAAGGAACCAATCAAGGACTATGAAAGGAAAAAAGGCAGACTGTAACAAATAATTTATGAGGAGACTTTTTCAATAGTTATTGTAAAAAAATACAATTAAAGAGCTCAGTGTTCTTCATACTTACATCTGAAGTAAAAATCGCTGGATCTCCACCCTCCAACATTTCCTCTACTTCCTCGTATGTCTTAGCTTTTCCAGCTAATTGTCAGGTGAGAGTTAAAAATACCAATATCAGTTTACACTTAAAACCAATTTCATACACATGCTTTAAAATCTCAAGGCTTTCAAAAACAGCTCACATTAGAGATGTTTGAAGCTAAGCTCAGAAAACTGGGGTCTTGTGCCAAAAGTCAGGGCTAACTTAATAAACTAACCAGGAGAAATATCATGAAACTACAATCTAATCTTCTTAAAATACCTCAACAAACTACAACAAGGAAAGAGACCAAGCAAATATTTTCAAATTTTATCACATAGTGGACTTTTCATGGATTGGTTATATAATTTATGGATCTTAAAGGGAGAAGTTACATACTAATCACTTCTGCGAGTTTAAGGGCTAACAATCGTCATACTTATTTCCAGCTGCCGCTGAATCCTTGCTTTGCATTTCTCTCTGTAATCAGACTGGGTCGTGTTATAGTCACTCATCACTTCTACAAATTTTCTTGCTAATGTAGAATGCTAAAATCTATATATATATATATATATTWATTAAAAGTAATTTTAACTTTTGTTAATTGGCATAAAAATAGGAAAATTAAAAATTATAATGGATTTGAAATGTGGGTCAGAGTTGACAATTTTCTTACTAATTCTGTAAGCTAAAATTTTCCATATTATTATCACTTTGCGAGACATTGTGGCACATTTTGCAGGCTCAAATGGAGAATTTGGTCAGCAAAATACATTTTAGCCCAATAAATAGATTGTTTTGCTGTCTTATTTTTCAGTTTTTATTCTCTCAATTCCCTCCAAAGTAACAATAACAGTAATGCAGTTTATATTCTGGGGTATATTATATATTTTGGGCCCTTCTCAGAATCATTTTAATCTTTAACTATAGCTGCCAGGGTAAAATGATTCAGACCCAAAACATATTTATTCTCAAGAATGCGAACTTCATTGTTTTATTACTGCTAATGAACAGGTGTAAAGGTAAATATGTATTCAGGAAAGACTTCAATGCAGAGCACAATATCAATAAATAACAAGATTTATTACACCTCTGGGGCAGTCAGAGGGCCAATGACTAAAATCAACCAATCAAAATGCTCTATTGCCGATCAATATTCTCTCAGTATTGGACCGGGCACTGTCCCGAATGGTACCAAATGATACCCCACTTGTGTCCCTTTGAACTTCAGTCATATAATAAATGTCTTATTAACCAAGCTTGCTCGGGACCATACTGGAAGAATATCGGCCCTCGGTCTTTTTTGTTGTGACCTCGCTGCACTCGGTCCGTACTGTCTAGACCTCGGGCCGATATTCTCCAAGTACGGCCCTCGCGCTGGGTTAATAAGATATATGTATTAACCTGGCATCTTCTTATCCTGGCTTCAGCATAGTTATTATAACCTGCATCCTGGTCTTGCTGGTTTATACTGTGTTCCATTTCTTAATCAGAGCACAAAACACTGAATGAGTGATAAAAAGTATTTTAAATAATAACCTGCAGGGCTTGACACAAACTTTTCAACTTGTTAGCCAAGTGGAGGGTGACAACTTAAATGTTACAGCAATTTCAGTTTGTTTACTAGCCAAACTCGCAAGTGGAAACCGAAAATCACTTGCCAAAACTGAATTTCTACTAGTCTATGGCTAGTTGGCTACTATTAGTGTTGAGCCCTGAATCTGTCTTTTGAAAATAAGACATGATCTTAAAATAATAATATTATTATAGTTATTTCCTGATGTCCCTAATTTTTAAACAAAGTCCTAAGGAAATTATTGCAATTGTGTTCACATTCTTTATTCCCAAACTCCTTTAATATAAACTCTGACAGTTCAGTTCATGTTGAATCTTTGGTCTTCCTCTGGTGACAAGGGAGATTGTAGGCAACATGTGTGTTCATATATAAGGAAGAATGCAGTCATGCTTTTGGTGTAAACATGGTGAAGGATGTCACCATGTTTGCTCCCATAGTTTGGCTCCAATCTCTGATTTCTTAAATCTCACTTGACAATCACAGAGACCAAATGTGAAGGCGAACAGACGAGGAGAAAGAGAAGAGAGTCTTATGGTGGACAATGTCTACATTCAAACTCTTTTGGTTTAGTTGTTGACAACTTTACCACCCTAATTACAATTGTAACACTAGAGAAGTACCAAATCTTTACCTTTCAATTTCACTCTGACTAGATTACTAGTCTTCTTAACATCTACCATCAGTCTTTCCAGTTCTTCTTTTACCTCTAAAATGCCAGATAAACAGAGAAGTTAGTGTTTATAAATCCACAAATTAAGCCTTGGTGGTTTGTTCATGTCTAACATTTCTTAACCTGTCAGAATCATCTAATTTAAAATCTTTTGGAACTTCAGTTTATTTTTAATTATTGCTTCCTTTAAACATCCCCATGGAATAAGTTTTATCACATTAGTCCAAAATAGTATGGAAAAAGAGTTATGATTTTGAACAACTTTGAAAACATATAAACATTATTGACACTTCACACCTTTTTTTTTAACCATTTCACTCCCATGATTTTTTTTACTGTTTGCCAGACACTTTGTGACATTTAAGCTCCAGTTAATCATTGAATCATACAACATTCCCTGTTTGACATTTTCTCTGCATTCTTGTCACTGAGTTTATTCTGAAATTGTCTTTCAATTGTAAGGAGAAATTCCCTTTTGGTCACCCCTTGGAGAAAAGTGTTAAATAAAATCTAGCTAAAATAAAAGGTTTCTAACATTACATGTTGAAACAAATGTTTTGTCAAGTGAATAACAAATAGAGTACTTCAGTGGTAAAAAAGACAAAATTGTATTTTTCTGAATATTTTTTACATCAACAGGTACAAACTCGATTTCTCACCCTGTGAGAAACAAAACATGAAGTTACATACATACATTTATTTGGTAAAGCAGGTTAAGTTACATACAATGGCAGCAAAAAGCTGCCATTGTATGTAAATGTGGACCTGCCTAAAATAAATTATCATACGTACTCTAACATACCAATGTAAATTAAACACTTCCTTTTACAACTTTCAACATTCCACTGTACAAAAATCAACATTATATTTAGCAATATTCTACGTAACATGAATTGCACGGTCTCTAAAAATATGAAGACTGTTTTATCCTACTGAACAAAAGGTCGAGTGACTTTCCATTTCTACACATGCACTGGTAATGTTTTTTTTTTTCTCTTATATAGATACCTTGATCTTGTACTGCTGCGGACAGCATAGCACTGTGCATTTTCTTAACTTGTTCCACATCTTGTGATATTTTATCAATGTTTGTTCGTACTATAGCCACCTTCAAGTGGAAGAATAAAATGATTGAACACGAAATAGCAATACCAATATTTCTCACGAGCAATCTTGAAAGTGCAAGTTGAACCTTAGACAGTAGTGAAGAAAAACTTACGGTTTGGAAAAAATTATCCATAAAAGTATTTTCCACATTAATAATAGTCGAAGGTTCATCATAATCTTGTGGATCCTCATCGTCGACATTTCCCTGTGAAAAACACAGTGTTGATACTGTAAATTGATCAAATCTCCAATATGTTACGAATGCTACATAGATCAATTGAATCGAAAGAGGCTCGTACTCTGTGTGAAATAATTAAAAGAAACAGACTAGTTTAAAAAAATTTCCGCTTCTATGATACTTGAATATAGACTCACCGCGCCTTTTAAGGCCTGTAATCGGTCCCTCATTTTGAAAACTCGTGTAAATACAAAGTAAATCCGGTGTAAACTCCACAACCACCTCCCCAAGATTGACTGCGGGCTTACTTTTGAAAGCGGTCTGTCTATGACCGATAAAATAAAAAAAGTATTCGTACAGGGGAGGGGAGGGGATGGTATAGTATAGCAGAGTCTAATGGCTCACGTCTTAGTTTCCTCTCCAATGAATTCGAAAAACTGAGCTGAGTCGATCTGATGAAAACATATAACAAAGAAGAAAAACTAAATGCCTTTATCCCAATATTAACTGGGGTCAAATCGTTCATAATAACAGTTTTAAAATAACCATTTATCAGTACATGCGTTCCTTTTATAAACACATGGTGTTTGTACATGCATATCGATATCATATGGTTAATTGTTTACTCGATCTTCAATACGTGGAGAAGTGAGATAGATCAAAATCTTGCCTTCTCTCGGGAACTGTTGAAGATGGCATCTGAGTTCAGAACAGCTTTGATTTCTCTCCACAGTTAGAAAAAAAAAACACAAACGACACCTGAAGCTGCTCAGAATAACATTCATTTTTGGGATATTTGTCATTATCTGTTAAAAAAAAAGGTAGGCTTGCTGTGTGCGGTTATTTCCATATGTAGCATGCATGACTGATCACCAGTCCTCAGGGCTCGTATATATCAAGAGATTTGAAAACAGAGCACGGCAAAGGTCAACGCTGGTGTCATTTACGGATTTGCCCTCCCCCTCTTAAAACTGGACTCCCCGGTCCATTTCCACTGACGGATTTGGAGCAAAGGGTCTAGACTGGTCTAAATATAGCGGGGTGGGGGCAGATCTGATATTGGCAAAAATTAACGATTACTTGGCTCATTTTTCCTCTTATCCTCAAATTATCGCTTCAGGAAAATTAAGAAAAGATCAAGTGCACTGTTAATCCAGTTATTTTCACTGCACAATTAAAATAAATAGTTTGAACTGGGCAGTGCAGTAACATTTGAATGAGCGGTCTGATTGTTAAGGTTAAAGAAGTCCTGTGGACAACTAATGTTGGCATTTAGACACTGACTCAGCTGAAGTTATCTTCAGAGTCCTTCTGCTAAGGTTGTCGAAACCTCAGTCAGATTATTCAGACAACAGTCTTTCTGAGGAGTACTCACACCCAGACGATCAGATGCAGGTAGAGAAATCAGAGTCAATTCAGTGTGTTTATACTTCTCGAGTAGTAATTGGGGGAACTAATCCAAACTAAAACTGAATCTGCAATACTTAAAACACTTGAAAAACGTGACAAAACGTCTAAAAAATATCAATTGTGATATTTATGAGAATTTTGAAGAACTTGGAAATTAACAAACGAAAGAAGCTAAATTAATACTTTATAGTGTACGACATTTCTGTTCTACTGCCCGCTTCATTTAGATATAAAAAGAAGTCCAAACTTAAATCTTCGCGACTTTTTAACAGAAGTGTATGAAACAACACGAATGTCTCGTTTCACGGGGAGGGAATTGATTACAGCTGCTTAAAGAACTCGCATTTGACGGCAGATGTTTTCATTGCAGAGGATTGGCTAACAATTATTTTTCCGAGCCTCTCCAAACGCGTTCAACTTCAAAAGGAACAAAAGATTCCCAGCCACTAATTGCTTCTTCAGAACAGCTGATCGCTCCTTTTCGTAAGCAAAGTACAAAGGACTCGAAGTTTTACTTTTATCATTCTTTTACCTTTATAGGAGTATATACTTTTTCAACTAAAATGGCCGGTGCGCACCCTTCTCTGTGATTGTTACACCACATAAAACACATTTCCTGTGACGGATATAAGCCCCCAATGGCTGATAGGAGACTGGGTAACAGTACCGTCAGTTCGTCACTGGTTAAGACCGGTTTTGACTACAGTTGGACCACGAGTTCGGAAGGAAATATTTCTAAGCAGTTGGGTCAAGAGTTCTTCCAAAGGTTCAACTTATCTGGAAAAATGGCACAGCAAAAGGTTGAGCCAGTAGCCAGATTCAAAGTGGGTTTTCTCTTCATTTCAGTATTTCTTCTCAATCATAGCATTTTTGCACAATGTCTTGAGGTTCGTATATAAGGGTATACTTATACTGAACGTTCGTGTTTTATGTTTCTGGTTAGCTCGTTCTTGTTGGCGATGGTGGTACTGGAAAGACAACGTTTGTCAAACGCCACTTGACTGGAGAATTTGAAAAAAAATACGTCGGTGAGTAACTTCGAAATCAAGTTAATTTCGCACTTTCCACCGTATCAGGGACACCATTCTGCTATATTTCACCCTAAACTACTTTAATTTACTACAGATATCTCATTCATTTAAGTGGAGGAGTAAACTGCAAAACTATACCTACAATGCTATACAACATTTTTCAACGAAAGCTAAGGTTTAACTCTTAAATTCGTTTCTGAACAACATACGAGTAGAATATTTGAACTGTTAGAGTTCCCGCGCTTTTTTTGATTAATTCTTCCGATTAATTACGCATGCTTTCCATTAATTTTCCAATTTGGAAGCGGTAAAGAGCTGCTCTAAGTACAAATACGACAGACATTTTCCCGGATTACATTTTTTTTCAAGTCTATATGCTCAGTAAAGTGTGCAAAATAAACAGAAAAAGATGCAAGTCTGAGAGAAAAACCTCTGATTTATGCATTTGCCTAATTATGCTTAATTTAGTATAATTGATATGGTAATTATAGGGATGCGCATGCTCTGATTGGTTGAGGATTGTGTCGTATCTTGCTATAATCACCTGCCACTGGCTGTAATTGCCTTGTGCAAGGTGATTACAGTGGGAACATTAAATTTTATCGAGGCAGTGACGAACATGATTAAGAAAATTCAATTCAGAAGAGCACAAAAGATACTACTAGGCTTGTATGGTCAGCCATTTGTTTCAAAATCATGACACAATTTATGTGCGGTTTTTTTCCCACGTATACTTGCAATTATTCCTTCTACACGATAAACATGCAATTTTTTGCCACGTATACTTGCATTTTATTCCCAAGTATATGACCATTTTTTTACAAACGCATATATATGCCCACAAAAAATTTACATATGATACACGATCCTCGCAGTAGACAGCGCTATTTAACACATTGACTCCTGAACCGCCCGAACCTCGTGATCGCCTTGCGCGAGAACGCTTTCCCCCCCTACCTCCCATACTAAGTGGAGCTTTGTCCCCAAACTTCCTCTATAGTTTGGAGATCAATAAGCCAATCAGAATCCGTTGTTTGCGCAGATATTTTTTCAACTTTAGGGGGTACTAGAGGGGCATTACTCTATGCGTCTTCACTAAATGATCAAATTTGAAAATATGGCGTCCACGCGGCCGACCCTCAAAATTTTCAGGTCGGATTTTTCGTTCATTTGCGATCGAGTTAGACCTTGTGGAATTCAGAATGTAAAGTAACAATGCTATAGAATACTCTACTTGGAAAAGAATGGATATCCAGGTCTTAAAAGTGACAGAATAAGCTCTCAAGTCAACGACACTACGATTCTCTAAGGCGATGCGAATTATGGACGTAAAGTGAAAACCGAACTTTCGGACTTCAAGCAGGGCCTGGCGACAATTTGACGATTCGATGGCCCGGTAAATATTATGTTTGAGTAACAATGTGTTCAAAAAGTATAGTTTAATAGAAGATTTTGCCTCAAATCGAAGTTTTTTCAGAATTTTCACCATAACGCTGCGCAATTTCTGGCCACGAAGGCAAGTAAACAACGATCCAAGCATGATGAATTTTACCGCGTGGGCTTTTTACACGTAAGAAATTCGTACGTTTTTCGCTTATTACAGTAAATCAAAAACTGTTTTGAATAAATCTGACGTCCCGAAATATTTCTTGGCCATTTTAGTCTTGCTTCCTATTGATAGATTCCATGAAACTTGAGATCTCTTCACTCACGGACAAATTTGCATATTCCCTTTTGAAATATGATCCACATGCCTATTTTCACACATGCGAAAATATTTAGCGATTTTTATCTTTCATCTTGATTTTTGAGTTAAAACGTAATATGCACCTATCGCTTTTTTCGCCGGAAATAAGTTCTTTAATTAGTCCTCTTTCACTGGAGCTTGTTTTTTGGAAAAGCTGATTTTTAAAAATTTACTGCGCATTGTGTTTGCCTTCTTGGTTTCTCCAAAATTTTGACTTTTCGTCGGCACGTGTTACACGTAAGTGTCAATGGGTTAA